GCTGTCCTGTTGTTTAAAGGGGGTGTGTGATTGCTTAAAGTGGGGTGTGCTGTGTAACTGAATGAATTTTGCTGTGGGTCTTAGTCACGTTCAGGTGTGAGTGGGGAGTGCTGTCGGTTGCAGATTTCTTCTTTGTATCTCAGTGATGTGTGCATTTGTCTCACTGAGGTCTGCTGAGGGTCACAGAGGGCTGTGCTGTTGTTTAACATGGGGTGTGCAGTGCAACTGAATGAATTTTGCTGTGGGTCCTAGTCACATTCGGGTGTGAGTGGGGAGTGCTGTTGGTTGCAGTGTGCTGTGCTATTGTTTACAGTGAGGTGTGCTCAGGTTTAAAGTGGGGTGTGCAGAGTAACTCAATGGATTTTGCTGTGGGTCTTAGTGAAGATAGACTGTGAGTGGGGTGTGTTGTGGGTCGCAGATTTGTTCTTTGGGTCTCAGTGATGTGTGCAGTGGTCTCACTGAAGAATTCTGTGGGTCACAGAGGGTTGTACTGTTTTTTAAAGTGGAGTGTGCTGTGACTTAAAATGGTATGTGCTCTGTAACTGAACGAATTTTGCTGTGGGTCCTAGAGAGGTTAGGTTGTGAGTGGGGTGTGTTGTTGGTTGCAGATTTGTGCTTTGAATCTCAGTGATGTGTGCAGTGGTCTCACTGAGGTGTGCTGAGGGTCGCAGTAGGTTCTGCTATTGTTTAAATGGGGTGTGTGATTGCTTATGTGGGGTGTGCTATGTAACTCTATGAATATTACTGTGGGTCCTAGTGAGACTAGAGTATAAGTGGGGTGTATTGTGGGTTGCAGATATGTTTTTTTTTGTTTTGTTTTCAGTGGTCTCACTGAAGTGTTCTAAGGATCACAGTGCACTGTGCTGTTGTTTAAAATCTGTTTTGTTATGGCTTAAATTCGGGTGTACTCTGTAATGAATTTTGCTTTGGGTCCTAATGAGGGTAGGGTGTGTGTGGGGGGTGTTGTGGGTCGCAGATTTGTTCTTTATGTCTCAGTGATATGTTTAGTGGTCTCGCTGATGTGTTCTGTGGGTCACAATGGACTGTGCTATTGTTTAAAATTGTAGTGTGCTGTGGCTTAAAGTGAGGTGTGCAGTGTAATTCAATTATCTTTGCTGTGAGTCCAAGTGAGGTTAGGGTGTGATAGGGGTGTGTTGTGGGCTGCAGATTTGTTCTTTGGATCTCAATGATGTGTGCAGTGGTCTCATGATGTGTGCTGTGAGTCGCAGTGGGCTGTGCTATTGTTTAAATTGGAGTGGGCAATTGCTTAAAGTGGGGTGTTCTGTGCAACAGTAAATTTTTCTGTGGGTTCTAGTGAGTTTAGCGTGTTAGTGGGGTGTGTTGAGGGTTGCATATTTGATCTTCGGATCTCAGTGATATGTGCAGTGGTCTCACTGAGGTGTTCTGAGGGTCGCAGTGAGCTGTGCTCTTGTTTAAAGTGGAGCTTGCTGTGGCTTAAAGTGGGGTGTGCAGCAAAACACAATGAATTTTGCTGTGGATTCTAGTGAGGTTAGGGTGTGCGTGGGATGTGCTGTGGGTCGCGGATTTGATCTTTGGGTCTCAGTGATGTGTTCAGTGGTCTCGCTGAGGTGTTCCGTGTGTCACAGTGGGCCATGCTGTTTTTTTCTTAACCTGTTGTGCTGTGGCTAAAGTGGGGTGTGCTCTGTAAGTCAGCGTATTTTTCTGTGGTTCCTAATTATGTTAGGGTTTTCTTTAAAAGAAGACATAAAAATTTCCAGATTTTGTATGTGGCATTGGAACCAGGAATTCATTATTTCTGAGCTAATCTCTTTTTTAGTCTAATTTGTCTAGCGCAATTAGGAATAGACTGCCAATAAAATTATACTTGGCAGGGCAGCCCCATAGCCTGGTGATTGGGGCAGCCAGTTACTCCCTGGCAAACTCTCATTTTGAGTCATGGCCTCAGAGGTTTGAAAATCACACTGGGCATGTGCGTGTACATTCTCCCACAATACAAAGGGCTAGAGAAGTGATGAAGGGTTTGCTCTGTGACCACACGTGTTGGAAAGGTGCTTGCTCTCTCTCTGTCTGGAGAGTACATGTATCCTCTGGTAATAAAAAGAATTATACATTAGGCCAGTAGGTGGAGTGGTGATAAAGACACTGGAATCCCACATGGCAGACTTGGTTCAAGTCCCGGACCTGGCAGCCTGAAATCACAAATTAAGTAAGTAAATAAATAAGTAAATGTAAAAGAATGTATATTCTTGATAATCTGATAAAAATGTTTAAGGAAATATTTTCTGGAAAAGTATGTGATCAGGAATATCGAGACAAACTGTTGTTTATATCTATTGCCACGTCCCTCCAAATCATCGCTGCTCTCTTTTTGAATGGTCATAGAGTCATTAGTGTCTTCTAATTTAATCATATTAGAGAAGAAATTACTCAAATCCCAGAAGAAATTCAGAAAACTATTCCCCAAGATTCTGATTCCAAAGAAGCATTTATGTTACAACATCAATCAAAAACAAGAGTCTGGACACATAATTTTTTTTTTCTTTCTTGAGGGATTTTATTTTTTTCTTTGCAGAACTTCAACTAATTGAGTGATACCCACCATATTACAGACCTTAATCTGTTTTTATAAAAAAATAATTATTTATTTTGGGACCAGCAGTTTGCATAATAGCTATGTCACTGGAATCCCATGTAGTTGACCGCAGTTCAAATCTCGGAACTGGCAGCTTAACTTCCCGCTGGGCGCATGTGCGTATGTGCCCAAGATCCTGAGAGGAGAATGGAGGAGAAGGGATTGCAGCATGGCCATTACCCCCTGGGGGGTGTTTTTTCACTTTCTATCTCTCTGTCTCTCTCTGTCTTTCTGCTGAGTGCATGTGCCCTATAGCAAAATCTTCTCCAAAAAAAAGAATGATTTATTTTAATTTTCTTTATTCATTCATTTTTTAAATTTGACCAGAGAGAGACAGAGAGAAAGAGAGAGCAGGAACATTACAAAACAAACCACCATGTCCAGGACTTGAACCATGGTCAGCCATGTGGAAGTATCCAGTGCCTTAACCACCTGCTCCCCTTTTTACAAGGCTACTTATTTAAATATTAATCATATCTCAAAAAATCTTCACGGCAATATGTAGACTAGCTTTTAACCAAGCAAGTCGGTATCATAATCTAGCCAAGTGGTCACATAAAATTAGCCATCCCAGTTAACAATTTAGATATTTAACTGAGCAGATTCCCAAGTGATCTGTGAAAAAAAAAAGCCTGACTTTTCTTTACTGCTCATCGTAAGATGCAAGATAAAGAGATAAATCATGGAACAAACATACTCAGAAAGAAACCGGAATTAGATGATCTGAAAGGTCTTAGTCTACCAAGATGGTGTGCTTAGGAACAGAGCCGAGGGTGTGGCTGGACAGCTATATGCTGTAAAGACTAGGTGTATTTCTGTGGTTCTAGTCATCCACCTCAGTGGAGGCTGGAAGTAAAGATGTGATAACTGGGAAGATCTGGGATGGATCCTTCTGTGTGATAACTAAGACCCTGTCTGGACTGTCAATGCTTTCGAGAATGTTACACCAGCTTACATACAGCCTAGACTGAAAGGGACACAATCATGGAACAATGTCTTGAAAGAAGGACCACGTAAGCAGAACCATAGGTCCACAGGACCTCCTCAGGCTGACAGGAGGGTGTCATCATCTTCTGGTACCCCAAGAAGTTCTACCTTGGGCTACCATCCCAGGAGGCCCAAGGACAGGACATCTAGGCACAGAAGACTATCCTCATTTCTACAAATATAATAGACTTGGTGCCATTTGGTTTTGAATTTGCTTGGATTCTATAACTGTGTTAAACCGAACACTAGGCACCAGTTTCAACTTCAAGGGAGCAGAACACTGTGTACTAGCTGCCAATCTCAGGGGAGGGCTCTACACACTCTGCCCTTTGTACTTGCTATTGCAGATGGCAAGGGAAACACACCAGGCACTGGATGGAGTGACGCTTTACTTAAATACACAAAAGGCAGAGGGAGATCAGCTTTCATATGTGTGATGGTCACCCTGGCTAGCACATGTTCTGAAGAAGCCCCAACCTGAGAGGACTTGCCCATAATGTTTACATGTCCACAAAACACACTACAGCTCCAGCAGGAGAAGACAAATTTACCTACATTGTGGGTAACAATGTTCTGCTGATGGCTGGATGCAAACTGGTCCATGTGGCCATGAGCATAGAGTTAGGTTTTATATGATAGGAAAAAAAGCATTAATAAATCATTAAAGATCAGTGCAGACTCCCTTTCACAAACACAGCATTCTGGACTATACCTACATTGCTTGAAGCCTACAATAAAGGTTAGCTTCTTGATGAACAGAATCAGCAGAGCATGGTTAGGAATTAGTGCTTCAATCTAGTGATGTGAAAGTGGAGGGATGGGCATTCCTCTGGGTTGGCCCAGTAGGCCAATTCCAGGAGACCAAGTTATAAAGACAATTCAATTTCAACCACTCTTCATGTTTTGATTGTATTCATAAAGGTACAAGATTTGTATCTTGTAGAAGTGAGTACGCTTCATCATTTTAGTACATTTATTTATGATAGATAAGTTACAAGTAATAGTTATCTAATTCTGATTACTAAGATGAGATCTGACTGGTTTTTACATGTTTGCAAAGTGATATAATTTTGGAAATGAAGACAACAATATCTTACGCTTCTCCTGTGAAACAGAGAGTCTCAGGGAGCCTCACACACTTGCAGACAACTTTGAAAGAGCTGGAATAGGGATGGATAGAAACAGACACCACAATAATAGTATCAAATTTCTTGCCCTTGCTGTCTAAAAATAAGACACACAGTATTTTAGGTTGCAAGTTTTAATGCAATATTTTCAAGAAGTGAGGGTTCTTATTATGAGATATATCTATATTATCACAAATCAACAAAAATACGTACTTATGAATTAAATTGAGTTAAACAATACTGGAAAAATAAAGTATTAGTAATAAAATTTGGTGTGAAGTGTCACTTTTTAATTGTAATAATACTTCTTAGTCATTATCTTTTCGCACAACTGGGGTATGGCAGCTGCCCATTCCGACACTGCACTCGAAACGCCTGAGAATGTGTAGGATAATATCCACGTTTACAAGAAAATTCAACAAAGTCTCCTGTTCTGGAATAAAGCTTTTGGTTTGGTTTCCATTTTAATGCTATATTATGTCTTCCCATGATCTCTTCTGATATTACACATGCATCTGAAAGTATTAAAAAAAGAACATAAAACAAGTAGTTTACAAAACTCCATAGCCTTTCAGGTAAGATGTTACATAATGGTTCAGGAATTCTTTCCCACAGTCCTAAAGCACAATGTTGATTCAGGTAAAGTTGAAATAAGCACACAAAGTTGGAGTACTATGTTCCTTATAAAAGTCATAATACCTATTTTCATATTAACAACCTGTCGCTAACATTTTTGTATGATTAAAATATTGGTACAGGGTAAAAATTTCAGCTATAAGATGTGTCAGACCTGGGGATCTATTGTACAACGTAGCAAAAATGGTTACTATTCTGTACTTTTTCATTTAAATTTGGTCAAAGAGCAGATTTTAAGTGTTCTCATTACATTTGCACTTATAAACCCACACACTGACACAGACACGTTTAGAAAATGGTAACTAGGTGTGGGGATGAATTGTTCATTAATTTAATTGTGTTAATCATTACACTATAAATATATAAAATCACCATATTGGACACCATAATAGTATAGAATTTTATTTGTGAGTTAAATATTTTTAAATAAACTATAAATATAAAAAATAATTAAGACTGTATTTTCTCACATATTAATATCTGGTAGTCAAGTATTTAGCAGGGTGGTTGTTCATTAATCTGTGAAAATTCTGTTGTAAATAAGTAAATAAATGTCATAGTCATTACACTGATTTTCCCAGGAGCTGTGAAGTATTAAAGCACTTACCTAAGCATTTTGGTGGTTCTGACCACTGTCCCCTTCTACAGGTTATTTTCTTGGGGCCCTCAAGTACATACAAAGACTCACACTGATACTCAACTGATGACCCAGGGGGGTACTCTGGCATCGGAAATGATGTAATGTCACCATTGTCGATAGGTGGAGGAGGCCCACATTTTCCTGAAGAGTCTACAAAATATCGGTAGATTTATTGAAGACAAAATAGAAGCATAAATTATAAGAAGGAAAATACAGATACAACAGTGCACACTATATCAAGACTTGTGCAATTTCTGGACAGAAATAATTTCTTTTTTTTTCACTTTATGCTTGCCCATTTTATTGGAGTATAATACATTTTGTGGACAGAAATAATTTCTTGAAAATTAAACCACATACAGTGAGAATTCCACTTTAAGCTCTTCCTTCCACCTCCCTGAAGACACAGATAAAGCACTAAAACATGTGTCTATTTTGTAGTATTCCAGTATTCCACAATGTTCTTTTAATGAATAAAAGCTGAAGAGGTAAGTAGTTAAGACAAACAGAAAGTCTCTTATTCTTATATAAGAATAGCACACTGCAATGTTAATTGCGTCTTTAGTCATTTGAAAAATTTTATTATTTTTATTACAACACGTCAACTCCTTGAAAAGAACTGAAAGAATACAAGTTTATAGAAAGTAAAACTGAATTGTTAGCTTCTTTATATTGACTAGATGAGGATAAAATGTTTCTACCTATTCCTTCCGCAAAGTGCGACTAAAAACACTAGACCAACAAGACACTGCCCATGTCCTATGACGTCAGTGGAGGCCCGTGTAGAATTTGGACTTATATCCAGCGTGGCATATTCAAAACCTGTTGAAAAAGAGTTGTAAATTTTTTAAAAAGTCCAATATCTCAAACTATAATGCCCTGAAAGTCCTGAACAAATAAAAATCCCTCATCCTATTAAGGACTAGGAAAATATCAGGAAAGAAGACAGTCCACAGAACACTGAGATGACACAATGTTGAAATTAACAATGATTTTTAAAAATCCAGTAGAAATTTATCATGGCATTATTCATGATTGCTAAGACATGGAACCAAACCAAATGTCCATGAACAGATGAATGGATTAAAAAAGTCTGGCATGAAAACTCCATGGAATAGTATTCAGCCATAAAAAGCAACAAGACCCTGGCATTGGATAGAAAATGGATGAACGTAGAAGAGTTATTGCTGAGTAAAACAAGTCAGGCTATCAAACAGAGATATTGTTTGTCTTCACTTAACATATACTGACTATCTACACACTATGGTATAGACCGAAAGACTGGAGGGCATAAAAGCACTGAAAATTGTTATGGACAATAAGAACAAAGTGGAAGGAGAGTGGGAGAAGGGAAGAGTGTGGGAAGTGAAACCAGAAAAAATGGAGAAGTAATTTTTTTATTTGGAGAGGTTTTCACTATAGGGCACGTGCACTTGCCAGAGAGACAGAGAGAGACAGAGAGACAGAAAGTGAGAAATCACCTCCCGGATGATGGCCACGCCACATCCCTTCTCCTCCATTCTCCTCTCAGGATCTGGGACATGCATGCACAGGTGCCCAGCGTGAGTTTAAGCCACCGGGTCCGGGACTCGAACCACAGTTAACTACATGGGAGTCCAGCGACATAGCCATTACGCTAACTGCTGGTCCTGAGAAGTAGGATAATTGGGGGATACAGATTTTATTTTTGCCTGTTGATGATGCCGTGTATAATAATCTCAACTTGCCTGCTGTATGGCATATATCATGTTGGGTAAAATCTCTTTACAAACCAACTTATGTCTAACGATTGATTATATAAATAATAAGAAAATTATAAAAAAAGAACAGAAAAAAATACCCAGTAGAATGTATGGAGCAGAAAGGTGCAACAGAAATTTTAAAACAGAACAAAACTAAATGGTTGGGCTTCATAATAGATCAGAAGTGACGGCAAATCCATGAACTTGAAGACAGACAAAACAAATTACTTACTTTGAAAATATACTGAAAACCACTAAACTGAACTGAATTTCAGAGATCTTTCAAAGAAAAGGAAATAATAGCCCAAAAACAGAATGAGGACTAATGGAACAGAGTGGAGATCCCAGAAATAAATCTCCAAACACACAACAAACTGAACTTTGACTAAGGGTACCAGTCAATCCAGTGGGAAAAGGAAAACCTCTTTAGCAAATAGTGCTGGAAAAACTGGGTATCCACTTGCATAAAAATGAATCTGAACCCTTATCTGTCACCATTAAGAAAAATCAACTCAAAGTGGATCAAAGATCTAAACCTAAGACCGCAAACTATGAAACCACTGGTGGAAAACACTGGGGAAACTCTGGGAGACACTGGGGTAGGCAAAGACTTCTTAAGTAAGACCCCCAAAGCACAGGCAATAATACCTAAAATAGACAGGAGGAATTACATCAGATTAAGAAGTTTCTGCACAACAAAAGACACCATAATTTGTGTGAATTGAAAATCCTCAAGAATGGGAGAGACTTTTTGTTAACAGTGACTGAGATAAGGGACTGATAACCAGAACACACAGAGAACGCAAGAGGCTTACCCAGAAGAAAATTATTAATCCAATTAAAAGATGGGCAAATAGGCTGAATAAACAAAGGAAGATATATGAACAGTCAAAAAGCATATGAAAAAATGCTCAAAATCTCTCATCATAAGGGAGACGAAGATCAAAACCACAATGAGATACCACCTAAATCCAATCAGAATGGTGAAGATTTAAAAAAAGAAATGATAAGTGCTGGCAGCTATGTGGTGAAAGAGGAACACTCCTACATTGTTGGTGGGAGTGCACATTGCTCCAGCCACTGTGGAGAACAATATGGAGGTTCCTCAAAGACCTTCAAATACAACTACCATATGATCCAGCAATTCCACTCCTGGGTATCTATCAACAGGACAGGAGAATGCTCAGTTGGAAATGCGCTTGCACAACTATATTTATTGCAGTGCTATTCATGATTCCTAAGACATTGAACCAACCCAAATGTCCACAAACAGATGAATGGATTGAAAAAGTGTGGCACATATATTCAATGGAATACTCTTCAGCCATAAAAAACAAGGCCCTGGAATTTAATAGAAAGTGGACGAATATGGAAGATTTGTGAATCAAGTCAGGCTATGAAAGAGAGACATTGTATGTCTCCACTTAAAATATATTAACTGTCTGCTCTCTATAGTAAAGACTGAAAGAAGGGAGGACATAAAACATTAAAAGTTGTTGCAGCCACTAGAGACAAAGTGAAAGGAGAGTGTGAGAGGGTAAGAGCATAGGAAAGGAAATTTGGGGGAAAAGTGGAGAGGTAAGACATTTGTGGGACACAGATATGGTTTATTATCTGTTAATGCAGATGTACACAGTATTCTCAACTGGACTGAGAGGTATATCATGCTGGGTAAAGTCTCTTTACAATCTAATGATGTATAGTGATTTAATATATAAATAATAATAATAAAATAAATTTTAAAAAAGAGAGAGAAAAAACATGGGGCTGAAAAAAATGGAATAAACAATGCCTTTTTTCCCACATTGGTTATAAGGAATGAACCTAAATATTCAATAAGCTGAGTGAACTCCAAAGAGGATAAAACCAATGAAATGATGCCAGTACACGTCATAATAAATCTGCTTAAAGATAAAAAGAAAACTACCTTGAAAGCAGCTAGAGAGAAAATATACTGTACCTCTAGGGGACCAAGAATAGATAGTACAGAAGGTTTCTCAGTTTTGACTATGCAGGCCACAAAGAACTGGCAAAAATTTTTGAGAGAGTGATGTAAGAAAAAAAAATGTCAACTGCAAATTCTCTATTCAGTGAACCTACCTTTTAGGAATAAAGGGGTAAATAAAGGCATTCTCAAAGTAAAATGAAGAGAATTCTTCTCAAGCAGATGTACTCAAAGAATCGCTGAAAAGATTCTTCAGATAGAAATGAGAAGATACAAGAAGAAATTGAGATTTCATGATGGAGAAGAAAACAATGTTATTGATGAAGAGTGGTAAATCAAATCAACTATCTATTTTTTTTTAAGGGAGATATTTGCTATAGGGTATGTGTGCTCACTGGAAAGACAGAGACAGAGAGAGAGCAATTGAGAAATCACTCCCCATGCCATAATCCCTCCTTCTCCATTCTCCTATCAGGATTATGGGCATGGACACACATGTGATCCACATGAGTTTCAAGCCACCAGGTCTGGGACTGCAACAGTGGTCGACTACGTGGGAGTCCAGTGATGTAACCATTATGCCATCTGCTGGTTCCATCAACTGTCTTTTTTTTTAATTGGTTCAATTACGCTTGCTGTTTGAATCAAAATTGCATAATTTGATATGATGCTCAATATATATACTGAAGATAATGGAGGCATTTATATTCAAAATATGGGGAGGATAAATAGACCTATATAAAAGTAAGGTTGCCATATTTCAATTGAAGGGTCTGATGTCAATGTCAGCAGAGAGTTAAGTTGCATACATATATTCTATGATTCCAAGAGCAATAACTTAAGAAAAAAGACAGACAAGCCCTAACATATCTTTAATTACTTTGAGTGTGAGTGGTCTAACTATGCCAGGTAAGAGACCACGAGTGGCACAAGGAGACGTAAGAACCACAAAACTCACTTCAGCATAAAAACTTAGGTAGATTCGAAATTAAGGATGGAAAAACACCAGGCAAAACTGAATTAAAAAAATAGAAGTAGATAACATAATATCTCATTTGTTGGTTTCCCTTATTTCCTGAACTCTAAATATTAAAGTACACCTTTACTAGACCACAGATTTCTTTTTCTAAATAAATTCCCTGAAGAAGCTCCATAATCATTCTTCAACCACCAATTCTACATTTCGAGGTAAATATATTTTAGCGATGTCAAGTGTACATCATGGTATCTTGTATACATTTATTCCTCAGGAAATAACTTAAGATCTTAAATAGAGTATTTTCCCGTATCCCAATATCATACTCTACCTCTGCATTGGGGTGGATTAGTCCAGTTTCCATTTAGACAGTTCACTTCGATGCCCCCAAATATGTAAAAAGATCTGTTACATTCATAACGCACTCTGTCACCAGGTGGGTACTTAGTCTTTGGTTCTGATGTCATACGACCATTTTTCACTGTGGGTGGATTCCCACAGGACATATCTGAGGAAAGAAAAGAAGTATCTCCATCTAGTGTTCTCTTTGAGTAGCAAATCAATGAATACGATGGCAAACACATTTCACATGAGATTTAAATACATGTTATGTCACGGAAGATTTTATTTATTCCAATAAGCACATGTGAAATATTGATGAGGAGACAAAGAAATACATTTTGTAACATTTAAGTTTTCATATCCTATATCTCTTCCCCATCTCTTCGCAGGACCAGATGGACTCCCCCCTGCCCATGGAAGGCATTTTTCTTTAGTTTACTAGAATAAATGAAAAATCCAATAAATTCAACTAGATTTTAAGTTGTACAAAAAATTAGAATAAAGAGAGTATGTGGCATCGGGTTTTGGTTCTCAAGTTGTTTAATTGCAATTTAGGCCCTTAAAAATAAACCAAAAAGACATATCTTTAGAGAACAGGTTAAGAATTCTTTGGGGCGAGAAGTGGCATGGCAGTGATACTCTGTGATTCTGGACCCAAGGGGAGGTGCGGGGTTCATATCTGCAGGTCTCCTACCACGCGCACACATGCCTGGGAGCCAGGGTGCCTGAGGCTGGGCCTGCATCCTTGCCTGGGGACCCTGCTGGAGGTATCTCTCTGACTCCTCTTTCTCTGTCTCTCTCTCTCTAGTAAAAGAAATTATGTTTTTAATTAAATTTCTATTTTTTTTTGTTTAAAAAAGAACACACTTTACAGAAAAATGATCAATCAAAGGCTTCTCTTTGGAGATGAGGAAAATCTTCTATAATTTTACAAATATTTCTTTAGTGATTTATTTGTGATTTTTAAAATAGGATTCCATGGTAAATAATGTGTAATTCATCAGATAGCTTCAGGTGCATGAAGAGTGAAGACAGGCTATAATAGTGGTCCCCAAACTGAAGTGTATGTAGACTCCCTGGAGGGCTCGGTACAGTAGTTTCCGTGCCTCACTCTAGAATTTTGAACTTTCTAGTGTTTATTTATTTTATTTATTTTTTATTTTATTTTTATTTTTATTTATTTTTTGCTATAGAGACTAAGAGAGAGACAGAAAGAGAAGGAAAGTGAGAGAGCACTCCTCCTAAAGGGGGGTATGGCCACCTCACAATCCCTTCCTTCTACATTATCCTGTTGGGATTTAGGGCACGCATGCATATGCATACATATCCAGCATGTTTCTCAAGTTTCCATGTCCAGGACTTGAACTGAGCAGGAAATATTGGATCCAACTTTTTAAACCACCATGCTCCTGGCAGGCCCAAGTTTTTGTTTTAATGAGTACTGGCTACACCCATGAATTGTAAATTGCATTTCTAACCATTTATGAGTAGTGAATCCTGTTGGCCCAGAGTCCACACTTTGAGAACACTGGGCTACAAGGTTAACCACTGGATACCAAATCCTGCCTTTTATTTTTAGGCATAAATCTATTTTTCTGGCTAAAAAAATAATCTTTGTTTAGTTTGATTGATACTGGAGACCACTTTATATTTTACTGCCTAAAACTCTTTAATAAATAAATTTTGAAAGTTTATCACATTACCTTTGCATGTTGGCTTTCCTATCCATCTGCCATTAATACATGTGATAAAATTGGAACCAACAAATTGGTAATTTGTGGGACATTTATAGATCACTTGTTCTCCTGACCTGTATGAGGCCTTCTCCTCTTTTACCGGTGTAGCATCAGGAAACATGGGTAAACCAACACAATCTGTTTCTGAAAGAAAAATAAAATGTATTCATTTGGTACATAATCTCCAAATACTCTATCTAATACTTCGGTACAGATAGATTCAAATAATAATATACAATATTTTTCTTATAACTTGACAAGATATGTTAGCCATTCTGACTTAATTATATTAACTTGCTCTAAATTTATCAAAAGTATATAAGATGGGGCTGATACCAGAACCTTGAAGAAATATTGATGCTTGAGATCACATTTTTGCATTCAAATTATTCTGTGCATACACTTGTCAGTTATATTATAACTGTATCTCTAGTTTTGCTCATGTCAAATGTAAGTTACCTATACTCTAGTAAGTATTTCAGACATGTTAGAAACATAAATACGGCCACTCCTTACTTCATGACCTACCTGTCTAATGACTGCTGGGACTTACGACCAGTTCTCCAACATGAGACCCCTCTTTCCCAGTTTGCCTGAGTCTCAGGAATCCCCTTTCTCGGTCTTTGGTTCCTGCAGTAGGTTAGTATCAGCTACAGGAAGCATTCACAATCACACAACACTACGTATTTTGTTTACAGGTGTGTACTGTATTGTGCACTCACAGAAGTATGCTGAGGAAGTAAAAACGATTATGCCAGATTATATTATTGTGTTCTGGTGTCAAGCTACTTTAACCACCATGCTACTGACAGGCCCAAGTTTTTGTTTTTGTTTTACTGACTACACCCATGAATTATAATTTGCATTTCTAACCATTTCTGAAAAGTGAATCCTGCTGGGCCAGAGTCCACATTTTGAGAACACTGGTTATAAGGTTAACCACTGGGTGCCAACTCCTGCCTTTTATCTTTAGGCGAAAATCTGTTTTTCATGGCTTAAAAAATTAATCTCTGTTCAGTTCAATTGATACTGGAGATCATTTTACTTTGTATTGCCTGACTCTAATGAATAAATTTCGAAAGTTTATCAAAGTACCTTTGCATGTTGGCGTTCCTACCCATCTGCCATTAATACATGTGATAACATTGGAACCAACAAGTTGGTAATTTGTGGGACATTTATAAATTGCTTGTTCTCCTGACCTATATAAGCTCTTCTCCTCTTTTACGGGTGTGGCATCAGGAAACATGGGTAAACCAACACAATCTGTTTCTGAAAGAAAAATCATATGCATTTGTTCAGTAAATAATCTCCAAATATTCTATTTTATACTTTCGTACATATAGATTCAAATAATAATATACAATATTTTTCCTATAACTTGACAAGATATGTTAGCCATTCTGACTTAATTACATTGACTTGCTCTAAATTTATCAAAAGTATATAAGATGGGGCTGATACCAGAACCTTGAAGAAATATTGATGCTTGAGATCACATTTTTGCATTCAAATTATTCTGTGCATACACTTGTCAGTTATATTATAACTGTATCTCTAGTTTTGCTCATGTCAAATGTAAGTTACCTATACTATAGTAAGTATTCCAGACATGTTAGAAACATAAATACGGCCACTCCTTACTTCATGACCTACCTGTCTAATGACTGCTGGGACTTACGACCAGTTCTCCAACATGAGAACCCTCTTTCCCAGTTTGCCTGAGTCTCAGGAATCCCCTTTCTCGGTCTTTGGTTCCTGCAGTAGGTTAGTATCAGCTACAGGAAGCATTCACAATCACACAACACTACGTATTTTGTTTACAGGTGTGTACTGTATTGTGCACTCACAGAAGTATGCTGAGGAAGTAAAAACGATTATGCCAGATTATATTATTGTGTTCTGGTGTGTCTTGATACTTTCTGGTGCTTATCTAATGAACATTTTTTGTATGGTTATAATTACATTATTCTGGTGTGGTGTCATGTATTAAATCGTCTAGAAAGTCATGGGGTATTTTTGCACAGAAAAACAGAAAAAATCGTCATGATGTTCATGACTTTCCTGACAACCCAATACCAGTCATTGAAAAATACATAACTATGTCACCACGCACACCGTAGACATCTGCTTTTGAGCTCCTCTAAAAGTTCACTTAAAGACCTAGTCATTGGCAGTAGGAGTGGAACTCAGTCGCTACGTGTGTAATGCCTGTATTTATAGAACGAGAGCTGATAAAATGCAGCTGATTGAACAATAATGAGACTGAGGAGTAGGGGCCAGCTATACTCCAGGAATAGAAATGAGAAGTTTGTGTAGATCAGAGAATGCTGGAAGCTCACAGAAGTTAATGTAAAAATGAAGTAATTTAGCTTGTAATGTCAAACTTTTCTTTTTTTTTTTTTTTTGGCTAAGGCTATTTCTATCAGAATTCAGAACATTTAAGAGATACCATGAAAATTTTAGAATTTCTGCTTATTTTCTTATTTGTATCAAATACACTTTGAATTTAAAATATTTATCAAACATGGAATAAAATTAAACACATCATACTTATGCATTCTGGTGAGTCAGACCACTTTCCTCCTAAACATTTTATAAAGGCTGGCCCATTGGTTCCGTAGCCTTCTGAGCAAGTGTACGCAACTTCATCTCCAAATTGGTAAGTTTCTAACTGGTGAGGTACAACACCATTAGGAATCGAAGGTGGGTCACAAGGAAGTCCTGAAAATAAAATAATGAAATAATGACTTTGTGTTTCACTAAAAAATTTAATTTTATGTACCAGTTTTCACACTTAATAATGTTACTTGAAAAAAAGTAACCCAAGAGCTACTCTGACATTATTGAGAAGGTGCACAAAGGCTTCCTAAAGCTACCCTTCTGGTGTGTGTCCCTGTCACCAACTGTCCCACTCTGATCAAGGACTTGAAACTGGAAATGTCAATATATTTAGGAAAGATAACCAATGCTTCTCTAATCAATCATGAGTGATGAAAAGAAGCACACTGGGGATGAATAATCTGAAGAAAAGTACTGTATGCTGTAAGAAATAAGAGCAATGTTGTAGGAATGATATAAACGATATTTTAAAGTTTGGTGGCAAAACAGCACTACAACTTACAGGAGTAGGTACATTTAATTTCACTATATACACTTAAAAAAAAAAGAAAGAAAGAATCAAAGAAAGAAAGAAATGGCAGAGGGCCAGTCCTCGGTATGGCAATGGTGGCCAGGGCAATTGGATTCCTTGTGGGTTGACTGTGCATTTCTAGTCCTGAACCTGGAGGCTTGAGAAACATGCCAGGCACATGTGCCTTTGTGCCCAGAATCCCTAAAGGAGGGAGAGATGGCGAGAAGCCTCAGAGAGAGCAGGCCTCTACCCGGCCATGCTGTCCTGCATGGGAGCCCCTTTCCGGCAGTGCAGATACCAGGAAATGGTCTACACCCAGCGGAGGAAAAGAGATTAATGCATGACCATCCTTCACGGGAGGTACTTTCTCCTCTCCCTCTCTCTCATTATCTCACTGTCTCTCTTTAGCAAGCACATGCACACTCTAGCAAAGAAAAAAAAAAAAGAAAAAAAATGAATTTTAGAACCAGTAGGTAACATGGAAGTTAAGGTGGCTGGATCACACATGGCTGATTCCATGGTTCAGGTCCTGGACCCAGTGACTTGAAATATCACACTGGACAGTTTGTGTGTGTGAGCTCAGAATCCTGAGAGAACAGTGGAGGAAAAGGGATTGTGGCATGGCCATCTTCCCTGAGGGGTAATTTCTCACTTTCCCCCTCTCTCTCTGTCTCACCCATGAGCATATGTACCCTATGCAAAAAAAAAAAAAAAAAGAAAATAATACTAATTTCATAATGAGTCAGTAAAACTAACAAAAATAGGATGATTAAACTATATGAGACTTATTATAATAGTAAAATTATATATAATAATAAATTATTTTGTTCCTTGAGTTTCACAAAAATAGATCATTTTAATGAACTCTACCAAAGCAGAACTTGAGTTTTCCATGTCCTCACCTACACACTGAGGAGAACTCCATTTTCCCATATAGCATGTGATCTCATCTCCCTCGGACATCCGAAAACCATCATCACAAACATAACTTAATTTAGTGCCATGTGGGTAAGAACTGGGCTCATTTGTTCTTTGACTTTTTTCTGAAGATCTAGGTAATATAAGGGTTCCATGATTTATCTCAGGAAGTTGAGAGCATGGCATTCTTTCTATACAAAGAACAGAAATCCAAGAGTCACACACCAATAAAATATTTACATTGAAAAATAAAATCAAATACTATTTGGGATTTTTAAGATTAATATAATTTGTACAAAGAACATTATTAAAAAATACAGTAGAGACTTGCAAGAATTTGTGTCTCTACAACATTTAAGTTACCATCCTCTAGTGTAATATTCCCCTCACTTATGTTCTCTCAATCATGAGAAGTAAAATACACAGACATTTTACATGGTATTTACATTGGAGTTTCAAATTGTTGTCTGTATTTTGTTCACAGAAGTGAAATAATGGTGGTTGATTGATTTATGGCTAGATTGCAGCTTTTTATTACAAAGATAATAGACATGAACAAGATCTTCATGTTTTCATTTACACAGAGCATGGTGATGTATCAATCCCATTAGAAAGAACGTTTGCTATCCGACGATTGTGCACACTGACCAACACAGCGTGGTAACGACTGCCACTTCCCATCTTTGCACACCATTTCTTCTGCTTCCTGAATTAGGTAACCTTCTTGGCAAAGAACAGACACCTTCTCTCCATCCTGATAATTCACTGTAGTTTTCATATCTTGAGCATTAGGAATCTGAGGTGGAGGTGGGCATAATTGCACTGGTACTTCTAAGAAAATGAGATTAGATTTCTTGATTAAAAATAATAATTAAAAATATTAACTGGTTAATTTAGAATAAATAGAAAATTCAAATAACTGTTTTAGGAATGAATGCTTGCATCATAATTATGCTCTGTGCTTACCATGATTATACTTGTTAGCTTGTGTAGCGTATGACATTATCATCTTTGGTTTATATTCTCACCATTTCCCTTACAGTTTTTTCTTTTTTATGAGTTTTTTGCCTTAAGGCATGTGCGCTTGCCAAAGAGAGAGAGATAAAGACAGTGCAGGGAAAGTAAGAAATCACCCCCTGGGGGGACGGACACCCACAGTCCCTTCTCCTCATTTCTCCTCCCAGGATCTTCGGCACACACACACACACACACACACACACACACACACACACATGCCAGGTGTGATTTTCAAGCCATTGTGCCCAGGACTTGAACCGCCGTCAATCATGTGGCAGTCTAGCAATGTTTCCACTATGCCATCTGCTGACCCTCCTTTGAAGTTTTTAAATTTATTCTCTCTTTAAACAATCTTGCCTAATCTATCAAAACCTATTTTAATTATTTCCAATTTTTATGATGTTTTTAAAAATTTGATTAATTAATTAATTAGTTTTAGATTTCTTCTTAGGGTGTGGACACCCTCCAAAGAGAGACGGAGAGAAGGAAGTGGAAAAATCACCTTCCAGGGGATGAAACTCCCTTTCTTCCACTCCCCTCTCAAGATTTTGGACAGGGAACCAGCAGTTAGCGTAATGGCTATGTCGCTGGACTCCCACGTAGTCGACCGTGGTTCGCATCCCGGACCCAGTGGCTTAAAACTCACGCCGGGCGCGTGTGCATGCGTGCCCGCCCAAGATCCCGAGAGGAGAATGGAGGAGAAGGGATGGGATTGCGGCATGACGATCCCCCCTGGGGGGTGATTTCTCGCTTTCTGTCTCTATGTCTCTCTCTGTCTGTCTGGCGAGTGCACGCGCCCATCGCGAAAACTTCACAAAAAAAAAAAAAAAGATTTTGGACACAAACACACCCTTTGTGCCTCCCAGATGACTGAGTCCTGGACTTAAACTGTGGTGCCGGTCACATGGGACCCAGTTCTTCAACCACACCACTACCTGCTGCTGCAATGTTTTAACCAAATTAGACACTCTTAATAGCAAGGATTAAATAAAAACTGATTACTGGGATGATTTTCAGAGATATAAATGATCCATTTTATTGCGGTTGAATTGAAACCCTCACAAGATATATCAATGGAAGCTGATTAGCCCAACCAAGAATTACCTTGTAGTTAATACTCAATTCGGTATAGACATTTGGACTACACAACATTAGATATATTCACAAGTGATTTTTTTACTGTGCTAGTTCAAGTTTGAAACTTCCCCAGAGCTACCATTAATAGTTTTCCTACAATGCTTAAGGATATATTAATAGTACACACCGAATTCAATGGGTCACTTAGACTGATTTTACTTACATGACCAGTTTGATACAAAAGACAACCCTGTGAACTTATATCTGAGCTCCTATAAAGCATAGATGTTACAAACTAAAAAACCTAAAAATGAACAAGTTTCTGGACACATAGAATACATCAGAATTGAACCAGGCAGAAATACAAAGCCTGAGTAAATCAATAACAAATAATGAGATTGGATCAGTAATAAATAATCTTCTGGGACCAGCAGTTGGTGTAATGGCTATGTTGCTGAACTCCCATGTAGCCGACTGAAGTTTGAGACCCGGACTCCGTAGCTTAAACTCATGCCAGGAGCGTGTGCATGCATACTCAAGATTCAGAGAAAGAATGAATGAGAAGGGATTGCAATGTGGCCATTCCCTCTGCGGGGTGATTTCTCACTTTCTGTCTCTGTCTCTCTCTGTCTTTCTTGTGAGCACACACGCCCTATAGCAAAAACCTCTCCCAATAAATAAATAAATAAATAGTCTTCCAACAAAGGATAGCCCAGGTCTGATGGCTTCACTACCAATTTTCACAAAACTTGTAAAGAAGAATTAACATCAATTTTCCTCAAACTATTTCTAAATTCCCAAATGGAAGGAACCTTCTCTAATTCATTTTGTGAAGGCACCATCACTTTGATATCAAAAGTAGATAGGCTCAAAACAAAAAAAGAAAACTGCAGAGTTGAACTGAGGTGTATATCATGCTGGATGAAGTCTCTTCACAATCTAAATGATGTATAACGATTTAATGTATGAATAATAATAATAAAAATAAATAAAAAAGAAAATACAATTTGAAAATATTAAAATAAATAAAAATTTAAAAACTATTATGGATAAAAAATAAAATCAAGGCCCAGCTGAAAGCATGACAGTTAACGGCTAGATCTCACATAGCTGACCTTGCAACTCAAGTCTCAGACCCAGTTATTTGAGTCATAAACCCAGTGACTTGAAAATATTTTTTTTTGCAGTTATGCAGACCCAAAATCCCCAAAGGAGAGAGAAGTGTAGGAGGAAGGATTGCAGTGTCTCTCTCTAGAGAGTCACACAACATCTGGAATTTTAAAAAGAAAGAAAAAAAAGGATATAGCAAAGACAAAAAGTGGAAATGAACAATATAGAGACTGGAAAGCAATAGAAAAAAATCAACAAAACTGAGCTGATTTTGAAGAGATCAGTAAAATTGACAACTAGAGAAGCCCAAAGGAATTGTGGGAGAAAGACTCTTTGCTGTCATCTGGTGGTAGCCATCTGGTAAGCCAAGATGGAAGCACACATGTGCATTCAGGAGCTGTGGAGGAAGAAGCGGTCTGATGTGATGTGCTGTCTTCTGAGGGTCGACAGTTGGTAGTTACCACCAGCTCTCTGCAGTCCATAGGGCCCCACCCAGTCAGATAAAATACACAGACAGGAATACAAGGCTAAACAAAGTTAGAATTCCTGTGCATTGTGGAGACCACAAATGCCCAGTTCTCAAGGTTGCAACCTTTGGCAGGTCTGTCCATCAGGTGTTAACCAGCTGAAATTTACTTGAAGGCTCCAGTCTGCTGCAGAGGAGCAAGCTGGATGTCACCATGGAACTCTTAGCATCCTGAGTTCTTACTGGGTTAGTAAGGATTCCACATAGAAATTCTTAAGGTTATTCTCATAGATCATTTCTATGAAGCTATCAGAAGAAACCCTGACACTCAGTAGATTAGCAAATCAGTCCATAAGCACATGGACATGTGTGGGCTGAAATCTGCAAGCTGCAGAGCTGTGGCCTTGGAAAGGGTCACCAGTTCCACTGCATTACTGGAGTTCTCACTGTCCAGCTTGGAGAAGGTGCAGTACTCTCCAATTTCATCGTTTCCACTAATTTAAGAAATGTTTGTAGAATTCATACCTAATAAACAATTTAGGACAGTCGTTTCTGCTTAAAAGTCTTATTTATCTATTAAACTAGTCTGCAAATTGTTTCATTAATACTTTGTCAAATTATGAAAGTTCCAAGTGTAATAATGTTTGAAGACTATAAATGATAGTGTATCTTGTTTCTAATAAGGTAAACTTTATTGTCTGCTTTATCTTTTTTCTTTCAAGAGAGATTTTTATTATAGGGTGCATGCGTTTGCTGAACGACAGAGAGAAAATGAAGAATCACACTCCAGGGGTCATGGCCAAGCTGTGATCTCTTCTCCTCCATTACCCTCTTCAGGATTTTGTGCACACACCTACACCTGCCTAGTTCAAGCCTCCGGGTCCAGGGCTTGAACCTCAGTTGACTACATGAGAGTCCAGAGTCATAACCAATACACCATCTGCTGGTCCCCGCTAAATTTATTAGGGAGTTATATGTCAATATTTAATACATGAAATCATATTGTGGTATACTAGTTATAAAATAAATTCTTTAAAACAGGCAAAAATAAAATACAACTGACAACCTTAGGGACCAGCAGATGACATAATGGTTATGTTACTGGACTCACATGTAGTCAACCATCGTTCAACTCCAAGACCTGACAGTTTAAAATTCACAACACTTTGTGTGATTGCATACCCAAGATCCTGAGAGGAGAATGGAGGACTAAGGTTTGTGGCATGGCCATCCCCCCAGGAGGGGATTTCTCTGTCTCTGTTGCTCTGTCTCTCTCTGTCTCTCTAGTGAGTCATGAGCCCTATGACAAAAATCTTCCAAAATTTTTTTTAAAACTTGACACCCTTTCATGGACATATGTGGAAAAGAGAAAATACAAGTAAATGAAATTAGAAATCAAAGATTATACATTTTAAGTGAATTTGAAAAACAAAAGAAGATTAAAAAAGACTACCATAAACTATTATTTGCCAATGAATTAGATGACCTAAAAGAAATGGAAAATTTCTAGAAATACACAACCTATTAACTTAATCATGATGAAATAGAAAATATGAGCAGAACTTTAGTCAGGAGATAGAAATAGTAACCAAAACTTCTCAACAATGAAAAGCCAGGAATAGATGGCTGCACTTTAAATTCTATCAAACACTTAGAAATCAATGCCAATTCTTCTCATGGGGACCAGCAGTTAGTGTAATGACTATGTTGCTGAACTTCCATGTAGCCGACTGCAGTTTGAGCCCCAGACCTGGTGGCTTAAACTCATGCCGGATGCGTGTGCGTGCGTGCCCAGGATCCCGAGAGGAGAATGGAGGAGAAGGGATTGCGGCGTGGCCATCCCCCCTGGGTGGTGATTTCTTGCTTTCTATCTCTCTGTCTCTCTCTTTCTGGCAAAGGCCGTGCCCTATAGCAAAAACCTCTCAAAAAAAAAAAAAGAAAAAAAAAGAAATCAATGTCAATTCTTTTCAAACCTTTTTCAAAAATTGAAGAAAGAACACTTCTTATCTCTCTTATTGTTTTAGAGGGATTTTTGCTTCCTGGTAGACAGAGAGAGAGAAAAATCCAAAAAGTGAGAAATAACTCCCTAAAGGACATGGCCACACCACAATCTTCCTCCATTCTCCTCTCAGGATTTGGGGCATGCTCCCACATGTGCCTTGCATGAGTTCCAAGTCACTGAGTCCAGGACTCAAAGCGCAATTGACTATGTGAGAGTCCAGCGTCTTAACCACTATACTGTGTGCTGGCCCTCCCATCTCATTTTATGGGTCCATTCTTACCCTGACCCAAAACCTGAAAAAGACATAAAGGTAAAGAAAACTATAGGTTCACATGCTTGATAAATACAGATGTAGGAGTGCTCAACAAAATATGAGCAAACTGAGTTCAACATCTTATGACAAGGAAGAAATACCATGACAAATTTCAACATATTTTCATAATAAAAACATGCAACAATTTAGGAATACACATACATTACCACAACATAATAAAGTTCTTCTATAAAAATATCACAACTAATATCGTATGCAAGGTGAAAAATGGACATTTACTCTGAGATCAGAAATCATGCAAATTGCCCAGTGTTACCACTTTTGTTCAAGATAGTACCAGAATTCTTAGCTGAAGCAAATAAATTAGAAAATGAAAGACATCCAAATCAGAAAAGCAGAAGAAATTTATCTCTGTTCTCAGACGCCATATTAGTACATGTAGAAATCCCTAAAGATTAATAAAAAGAAATTGTTAAACAAATAAATTCTATAAATTTGCAAAATATATCAACATTACAATCAGTTGTGTTTCTATACTTTAACGATAAAATATAAAGTCAGATGAAAAGACCAAGGGAACAGTGTAGAGACCACAAATAATCTTATACATATATGGTCAACTGATCTCTGACAAGGATCCAAACATATACAAGGGGAAATTACAGTCTCTTCCACAAATGGTGTTGGGAAACTAGATATTCAACTGTAGCAGAATATAATTGGACCTTTATCTTACACCATTTTCAAAAATCAATCAAATGATTAAAGACTAACACAAGATATAAAACTATAAAACTTCTAGCAGAAAACACAGGGGATAAATTTTAAGACATTGGTATCAGCAGTGAATTTTTGGATATGACACCAAAAGCAAAGGCAACAAAAGTCAAAATTGACAAGTAGGGCTAAAAGGTAAAATCAAACTAAAAGCTTCTTACTAGCAAAGAAAATAGTGAAATGAAAACCTACAGAATGGAATGAAATATTTGTAAATCAAATATTTAAGAAAAGGTTAATCACAACATATAAGAAATTTCTAAGGACCAGTAGATGGCATAATGCTTACATCACTGGACTCCCACATGGCCAACCATGGTTCAAGTTCTGGGTATGGCAACTTGAAACTTACATTGGGTGTACATACATGTGTGCCCCAAATCCCGAGGATAATGGAGGAAAGGGGACTGCAGCATGACTATCCTCCCTGGGGGTGGGGGGCAATTTCTTAATGTCTGTCTCTCTGTCACTCTGGTGAGTGCCTTAAAACAAAAATATCACTCTAGGGGACCAGCAGTTAGTGTAAGGGCTATGTCACTGGACTCCCATGTAGTTGACCACGGTTCAAGTCCCAGACCCGGCGGCTTAAACATGCAAGGAGGCCCGTGTGCGTGCATACCCAAGATCCCAAGAGGAGAATGGAGGACAAGGGACTGCAGCATGGCCATACTCCCTTGGGGTGATTTCTGGCTTTCTGGCTTTCTGGTGAGCGCACACGCCCTATAGCAAAAACCTCTCCAAAAACAAGAAAAAAAAATCACTCTAAGAAAAGAAAGAAACTTTTATAACTCAACAGAAAACCAGACAACTCAATTATAAATTGTAGAAGAGAACATACAAATGATGCCCAGACAACTCAATTATAAATTGTAGAAGAGATCATACAAATGACGCAGTGGTTACATCAGTGGATTCCCACATGGCCGACTGAGGTTAAAGTCCCAGACCTAGTGGCTTCCAAATCAGGCCAGGCACATATACTTGTGTGCCCAAGATCCCAGGAGGAGAATAGAGGAGAGGGGATTGCAGCATGGCCATCCTCCTTGAGATGTGCCATGTGCACATGCCCTATGGCAAAAACCTCTTAAAATTTTTTTGTGAAAGGACTTAGATAGATATTTCCCTAGTGAGAATATATGAATGTCAAAAGTGTTCATGAAACGGTAATTAATATCATTAATCCTGAAAGGAAATATGAATCATAAATCAGTGAGAACAGGTCATCCATTTTAAGAACACTGGAAGTTAAAAAACAAAAACAAAAATAAAAACAAAAAAAAACAAAAAACAGGCCCAGCCCCAGAAACTAGTGGTTAAGGAAGCTGGATCACATGTGACTGACTGCAGTTCAAGTCCCATCCTCAGGGATTTGAGAAAAATGCTGGGCACGTGTGTGTGCTTTCTCAGAACCCCAATAGGATGGAGAAGGAGTTGTAGTGTGACCACACCTCAGTGGAGGGTACTTCTGATCTCTCTCCATCTCCCTCTGGTGAGTGCATGCACTCCCTGGCAATTAAAAATTGTAAAACAAACAGAAAACAACTAGTGTCAGTGACGTCATAGAGAAACTGAAACTCCTACACACCATTCATAACTATGTAGGATTTGCACGTTTTATCAATTTTATGAAATCTACCATATACATGGGTTTTTCAAACATATTAAAAATAGAACTACTGCATGATCCAGCAGTCCCATTTCTAGGCATTTATCCAAAATAATTAAAAGCAAAATTTTGAAGCTATTTTCACTCTCAGATTTATTACAGCATTTTTTCACAATAGCCACGAGGTAGAAATAACCTAAATGTTCACTGATGGATGAATAAAGAAAGAAATTGTGTTATATATAGAGAGAATGGAATAGTAATAAACCAAAATAAAGAAAGATACTCCGGTATGTGCTACAACATATCTAAACCTTGGGGATATTGTGTTAAGTGAAGTAAGTCAGTTGTGGAAGGACAAACACTGGAATTCCATCTATATGACAGCAACATATACACATGCAGAATATGTGTAGTTCCCTGCAGTAGACACTGCTTTCTTCTTAAAGAGGCCATAACCGTGTTGAAATGTATAAACTAGCTCTTTTCTATCAGTATGGCATTATGTGCTATACATTCTAGACTTGCATATATATATATATATATATATACACACAAATAGATAAATGCATGATTAGACAGAGGGAAGGATAATTAGATAAAACAGATAGCTAGAAAGACATGGGTACATAAATAGACATGTAATAGTTATATGCATAGGTATTACCATGGCTTTGTACCTGAGAAATAAAGCAAACTAGAACCATTGTACTCTAATAGTAATAAGCACACATAGTTTATGGATGCTAAAGTCAAAAAATTTATGCATGTGTATGTTTGTGTGTGTTTAATATATTCTACAGATAATTAACTCACCTGAAACAATCCATATTTAGAAAATGTGTATTGGTAGTTTCTAAATTACCTTTCAGCTTAAAAATTATTTGTAATATTAAGTGATATTAAATTTTCTAAGAGGCACAAAGTTACTAGTTCTGGTTTAAAGAGCTAGGAGGAAACAATGAGGTTTGAAAACATTGTAAACAAGTGCTTACCCGTGCAGGTCACTTCGGGGTCCCATCTCCCATTTATGCAGACGGAGTGTTTGGATTCTGCTTTTCCTCTGCATTTGTAGCTTATGTTCTGGTTATGATCAAATTCAACCTTACTGGTTGGGTTTGCATTAATTATAATTAACCTCGATGTCTTACATTTCTCCAGTAGATTTGTTGCTGTAAAATGAAAATATTCTCATGAAAAGACAAATTATGAGAATCAAACCAACTATTACATAAAAAATGCTACAGAGGGCCAGCCAGTTGGCTTAGAGAGTGCATCACACAGCGATGCTGAATCCATTTGGAAGATGGCGGCTGACCCGTACACGGTAGCTGTGTGCAAGCTTGTCCCTGATACTGGCTGCATTAAAAAGCTATGGAGTCAGGGGCCAGCAGGTGGCATAGTGGTTAAGGGCTCTGGATCCCACATGGCGAACTGTGCTTCAAGTCCTAGACCTGATGGCTTGCTTTTTCACTTTCTCTTTCTTTCTCTGTCCCTCTCTGGTCAAATTTAAATAAGTAAGTAAAGTTGGATAAAATAATTCCTTAAAATAAAAAGCTTTAGAGTCAAGAGTATAATGGAGTTATGGTTTATACCTATAAATTCTACCAATCAAGCTATTCCTGATCATGTTGCATAAAATGGCCTATTAAGTACGATCGTAAGTCCTATGTTTAGTCTTTGAAATATATGAGTGAATATCTGTCACAAAAATATCTTGTATTTTGGGAACTGGTAGACCTTGTAGACTCATTTTTTGGAATGATCTATATTCCTTATTTGAAAACAATGCAAGTGTCCACATTAATTTGTGTTCCTGATCTCAAACACCTCTAGATGATTTTTAATCCATAATTTTAAAATATAAAAACATTATCTACGGGAATGTTTAATAAAACTACTATCTATGAGAATGTATTTTGCTAGTTAAAATATATATGTTTTTAAAGTTTGTTTCTTTATGACAGAGAGATACTGATTTTTGACAAGGTTTCACCATGCCATGATCTTTCCTGACCCAGCCTTCCAGCTAGCTAGAACTGCAGCAATGCTACAGCAATGCCTGGCTACCCTGCTCAGCACCCATTTGGATTGGGACAGGTATTGAACCTAGGCCTGAGCCTCTGAGTGGCAGCACTATAGCAGTGTGTGCCACCATGGATGAGTCATATATACACATATATATATATATAGCTGGGCCATGAACTCATATTTTAATCACGTAACGATTTATAAATAAAATGTAGCTTCATACTTTTCAAAATAAACTATCAGGGACAGAAAGATTTATATAATTTTACAGCTACTTTTATGTTTTCTCTGTAGGCACAATTGACTTAGAAACAGCCAAAGTTTAGATTAGGGGGCCAGTGAGGTGACGTAGTGGTTGGGCCAGCTGGATCCCACATGACTGACAGCTTGGATTCAGTCCTGGTCCAGGCCAACTGAAGTACACCCAGCTGTGTTTGTGTGCCGCCAAGAGAACAGAGAAGAAGTATCATGGTGTGGTCATCCTCTCTAGGGGGTGCTTTTCACTTTCTCTCTCTCTCTGTCTCTCTCTGGTGAGCACAGGCATCCAACAGCAAATTTTAAAAAAAAAGAAAGAAAAAAAGTTTATATTCATGATATTTAAGACAGGACATTTTCAGGAATATAAATTTTACATATATGATTACAAATATTTTTGAGAAGTTTTTGCTATAGGGCACGTGCGCTTGCCAGAAAGAGAGAGAGAAAGCAAGAAATGTCCCCCCAGGGGAGATGGCCACACCGAATCCCTTTTCCTCCATTCTCCTCTCAGAGCATGCATGTACACATGCCTGACATGAGTTTACGCCACCGGATCTGGGACTCAAACTGTGGTCTGCTACATGGGAGTCCAGCGATATAGTCATTATGCCAACTGCTGGTCCCACGAATATTTTGACAATAAAAATACTAAACTCTGTTAATGTCAATTTGAAAAGTGTGTTCGCACCAACACAGCTAGGAAGTTGGGTCCACGTTCCTTTAACGCACGTCACTGTTCCGTGTCCGATCATCGTGAACGTTTCTCTGCAGCTGAACTCCACGGAGTCTCCATGGCGATAGGGAGGGTCAGAAGTCTGGACGTAGCCGTGATCGAGTTCCGGTATGTCTCCGCAGGTACTCCTCTCCTCTATGAAATTTCACATGCAAAAAGTTTATCATTAAAATATAATTGCTATCTTTTGATAAAAACAAAAATACTGTTAAGTGTGAATATTAATACTTTTGCCTATTACCAATACACATAGGCAAGCTTGTCCACGTTCCATCAACACATTGAATCTTCTTTGGCCCCTTCATCAGAAATCCAGTATTGCAATGGTATTCCACTTGGTCCCCGTGCGTGTATTCTGCTTTCCTTGTTTTCTTGGCGTCCCCATTGAGAAGCTGAGGAGGAGGACCACAGACGCGTACTTCCGCTACAGAAGAAATACCGGGTAAATAATAGCTACGTGGTCAATTTAGCAATTTAAAGATCCAGCAAAATGGAGATAGTTTCTTCTTTTATTTATTATTGATCATATAATTTGTTAGAGTATTCTTAAGTAATCAAAGAAGAATGATGTTCACACGTTTGTACGTCCGGGTGTATTCTGTGGAGTGAACTAGCATCAGAGAGGTATGTTTAGCGCTTCCAATGTGTTCAGCAATCCAGATATTTTAAAGATGCATGCAAAATTATTAGAAAATGTGGTTGTGCATATTACATAATTTTTTATAGCCTATGGCAAGTTGTAACTTCTGGAAAAAATTTTATTGTAACTTTTGGAAAATGTGGCAATACTGAGTTAAGCATTCAATCAACAACTTTTAACTTTGATTAGAGACTGAATTGACAATAAACCATTTGGATATTGTTGAGACACACTCAGGGAAATGTGAAGTGGTCCATGTAATATGGATGATGGCATTGTGGGCAAAATAAAAAATAACGGAAGTCTTTCTAACGCCATCCACCACCCAGGTATCCGTGCATATCATCAATACACATTTTGAGAAACAATCGGTTAGGGACATCTTAAATAAGAGAATCTGAGGTGTCTACCACCTACTGTGTAGACACCCATGTCCTTCATGGGTCTATGTATTTCTTAATGTATTAGATTAGAGAAACAGTGAACCACACAGAAAAAAAATTTTAAGTTTGATATTCAAAATTCAAATTCCTTAATCAGGAAGTGCAAGCTACACATTCACCTTTACATACTGGGACATCAGGGGACCATCCAAAGGGGTAGCACTGAACTGAATCTGGTCCAACTCTTGTAAGTCTCTGTCTGCAGGAGAATTTCAGCACATCTCCAACTCTATATTTGTCTTTCTTGGGGTCAGCAAGCAAGTTTTGTTCCATTTCTGGAATCCTGCATTCTATTTCTAGAAAAAAAGAAAAGGTAAAATGATTTAACGAGACTACGTACTTAATCATTACCAAAATAAACTGCTTAACTGCAGTGCAAAACTGAGGGAGGTGTGGATGCACATTCACAGGAGCACCAGATACATTCTCCTCCTTGAAAACACGTCACAGGTGAGGTTTCAGACGCTCCCTAAATTCACGTGGGACTCTGCAACATAGTCAGTCATTGGACAGAATTCTAGGGTAAGTCTGTGCAGAGAGAGCTGGACCCCACCTTGCCTACCACAGAGAGAGCCATGGCTGCAGCACCCTAAAACACACAGGTGTGTGGACATGCAGGCCTGGGGTCCTAGTGGGAAGGAGGGATGGAAGAAAGGGGATGAAGAATGGCAAGGCCTCACTGGGGGGCTCTTATATGCCCTCTGACATAAAAAAGTTTACTTAAAATGGGGCTCTTTCTTATGTGCCCTCTGACATAAAAAAGTTTACTTAAAAATTTTTTTAAAGTTGGGTTACAATTGCTGTATTGCATACATACTTGGGTAACCAGAACATGAAAATAAAGCATTCCTGAGGTATTTTAAGTTAAGAGCATTAAAAATCCCACGATTAATATATTACAAATGGGATCAACTGGTAAATGGTTAAGGTAGCTGGATACCACACAACTGACTGTGAGGTTCAAGTCCTAGACCTGGAGTGTGAGAACCACAGTGGGTATATATGTGTGTGCCCAAAATCCTGAAAGGAGAGAAATGGAGAAGGAATTGCTGTGTGACCACTCCACTTGGGGGTGCTTTCTCACGTTCCCTCTCACTCTGTGTTTCTTTCTGGAGAGCACTTGTACCCTCTGGAATTTTACTTTTATTAAAAACAAAACAAAACAAAAAAACAAACAAAAAAACCAACTTCACTTAGTTTACACTAAATTAGGGGAGAACTTAATTTTTCATCATTGTTCTTTAAAAGTGTCTCTGGATCAGTTAAAATTTCAAAACATGAGAACAGTAGAAACAGGCTGAAAGAGCAGAACTCACCAGAGCACGAGGCCGTGTCAGACCAGCCGCTGTCACCACAGACTATGGAACCCTTGGTGTGTCTGTCTCTGTTTTCATATCCACTACGACATTCGTACTCCACCTCGTCCTTGACCTTAAACCACGTGAAATTTCTCGTGGCTCTGGCATTCTCAAATAATGGCTCATCACAAGATTCTAATAAATAATGAAGTGAGGATTTCATTTTTAATGCAATTTGATGGGCAATTTGAGTAATTCCAACCCAAGAACAAAATGCTGCTTTAGAAATTAGTGTACATTAATAAATTAAGTACTATATGAAAGCAATGTAAAAAGAATGATAAATCATTATGCTGAAGTAGTAGTTACTTATATTAGTTGTGATACATATAGAAGAGAAAAATTAATTAATTGAATAAAAAGACCAATGCATTTAGTATGTAAAACATTCTCTATTCTGTAATAAGAAAGTCTCATAATAGATTATTGATTACAATTTTGTATAAAATGAATTTTATATGGAGGATAAATTTTCTCATTTTTTTCTAGACTCCATAATAAGCATAGAAAATTTTGTAAAAAGAATTATAATAATGAAAATGGATATCTTAAATATACACTTCACTTGTAATTTATCAGCCGCATAAATTTAAACAGTTAAATTATCCTTAGATTATATACTATCAACCCATATCCTCATAAAAACATTTTTTATACATAGGAGGAAAGACTTTAATATATAAGATGAATAATCAAAAAAGAATCACATGTAACAATCATAAGTCTTAGCTAAAAGACTTGTTCTGTACCAGAACAACTGAACTAGTTTCTAAATCACAGATGCTTTAAAGAGAAAAAATCCTAAATGGAAAGGTAGACTGACATTTTACCCATAGTATTATTGAAATTTAAAATATAACTAAAAATTTCAATTTTTTTCAAAGTTCGCTTGTCTTTCAAATGCAACCATGCCAGCTTCATAAAGGGAAAAATGAAAGGAAGAAGTTAAAGTGAACATGTGTGCCATCAGGTATGAGCACGAGCACAGGGAGTCACGTACTAATGCATCTGGGCTGAGCCGACCACCCGCTCTGCAGGCACGTGATGGATCCTGATTCTTCACCATCTTCCGTTACGTATCCTGGCTTGCACTTATACTGTGTCACTGCATTTACAGTGTATGTGTTAGTGGATTCAGACAGAAACCCATTCTCAACTTCTATTTCTGATTTTGAACATGTTTCTAAAAGAGACAAGAGAAAAAGATAAGCATATATCCAATACCATTTATATAAGGACCCAAATAATTGAAAAATATAAAGATGTCAATGAATCATTTGTATTTGAAAACCGAGATTAATCATAATCGATCAAGTTCTTATGTCAAAAAAAATAAAATCTGGGTTTCTAAAGATTATAGGTCTGTAATACCCTTTAGGAATCTTTTGGGTAACTTTTTAAAGATAAGATTTGAAGCACTGATAATCCCTTCTAAGAAATTAGTAGAAATCTGTTTGGTCTAACAGATCTGGAAACCCAAGCATCCTAGACTTCTGTAGGTCATATGTTCTTTTTTTCTGGTACTTTTAAAAAAAAATCCAGCAGCCAGCAGGTGGCATGATGGTTAAGAGCACTGAATTCTCACATGGCCCACTGTGGTCTGAGTCCTGGACCTGGCATATTGCATTCTCACTTTACTTCTCTTTCTCTCACTCTGTTCCTTTGTGGTCAAATTTAAATAAATAAATAAATAAAGTTAAGTGAAATATCCTTTAAAAAAGAAAAAAAATTGAAACTAGGTTAGATCTCTAGAAATTATTTAGCCAACTGAGATATCTGAAATCAAGTGATGATCTTTCTGCCAGCTTAAATGACACAGCCTTTGAATAGAGCAGCCTATGACAGCAGGTCCTGATAGTCATGTGCTTGGAACCATATGGGTTCATGGAGTTCAAAGAAGATGAGAAAGAGCAATAAGCTCATCGACCTTTGAAGGCAAAATGATGATTTTTCAAATTATGTACTACTTAGCTTTAACCGTTAGCTGTAGACGTGGTGTCAGTTACTAGATCTCTACCCACAATTCAGCTCTGCTCACAGATAGCCCATGTGTCACTGCGGTGAGAATCTGAGGTTCTTGACTAAGCCACAGAGTACAATCTGATCAGGAGTCAAACAGCAGAGCAGAGAAAGTGGATTGAACAAAGGTGAGAATACACTCCACCAGCAGAGCAGACCGCTCTGTAGGACACTGCATTGAGTGGCTTTGGGGCTCTCCCTTTATGGGAGATTTACATTGTATATTAATTAAATGGTTGGATTTTAGAGCTTAGGGCTGGTCTTGAAGGTACCTGTAAGGCTGCTCACATGTGCACATGGTCTCTAGGTGAACATGCTTGCACATACCTCATATGTATCATTGGCATCTAAGATTTCTTCCCCGGGATGCGTTTCTTACAAATCAGGGGGTTAGTGTAGGTCCTGTAAGGCGCCATTGAGCATGCCTGATTGAGAAGCTGCTATAAACTTGGAGGGAAGAATCTCTATGGGTTTGTTTCCCCTGCGAAGTTTCATTACGGGGTTGGCCTGATTCCTATCTCCCTCTCTCTCTCTCTTGTCTCAGTCTCCTTTGCTGCAGAGTTTTGTTCTCAGGGTGGGCCTGGTTTCCATCTTCTAACTCTTAATTCCTCTCTCACACGAATAAAAAGTAAATCAAAAGAAAAACAGTAATTTTTTTAAGAGGTTTTTGCCTTCAGGTGCATGTGCTTGCCTGAGAGAGAGAGAGACAGTGAGAGGGAAGGTGAGTTATCACCCTCCAAGGGAGAAGGCCATGCTTCAATCCCTTCTTCTCCCTCTCATCCCTGGATCTTGAGGAAGTATGCACACGTGCCCAGCATGATTTTCAAGTCACTGGATCTGAGACTGGAACTGCAACAGCAGACGACCGTGTGGGAGTCCACCACTGGAATTTCTTCACTATCTGCTGGATCGATAGTATTTTGAATTGAAATCACAATGAAAGGATATGGAATAAAATTTTCTGAAATATTCCTGAAGTAGTGCTAAAGCAGAGATTTATCATTAAACAGAAAATGAAATTAAAATGAGAAATTGTTTCCACTTTAAGAAATTAGAGAGTGAAGCTGGACCTACATGCAGAAGTTCCCGGATTTGAATCCTGGGACCTCTCTGAGAGCCCCTGGTGTGTGTGCAGTCCCATGACCCAGGCCAGCTGAAGGGAGAAGCGGTTCTCGGTGTGAAGACCCTGTTGGGGATGCCAGTGTCCCTGTCTATTTCACTCTCTATTCTCCCCTGTCACTCTCTCTCCCAGGGAAAGAATAAATGAATACACTATCTCTAGATGAGAAAAAAATCAAACAAAACCCAACATATATATAAATTTTGAAAAACATTAACTATGAGCCAAAATTAAACAGAAAACAAATAGTAGAGAAAATTAATGGTTAAGTGCTAAGTTTGTAAAGATGTTTTAGAAATTAATAAACACCATGCAAGAATAATTTAGAAAACAGGTCCAGCCAGAAAAATGAGACTGAACTAAACTGCTGAAAATAACTTCCATCAGGCACTGGGAAACAAGCAGCCCCTGACTGTAATTACAGAGAAAAGGGTAAAAAGGAGGTGAGTGCTGTGATCAACATGGCTTTATGCCTGAGAAACGTTCCAGACAACAGCACAGAGAGGAGGCTTCATGCAGAAAACGGCTGTCTCACTGAGTAGAAGCAACAAAAAAGCATCATCTAATAGGCTGGGGTCACTGGACTCAGCAGGGAAAAGAGCCAACCAGGAAGCAGCTATGGTTCTGTAGATCTGCTTAGCAATTAGCTAAAACCTTGCCTGACAATCAACACATTGTAGTAAGAAAAACTCCGTGAGCCTGGGCAGAGAATAACTAACAGGGGAAGAAGAACTAGACCAGAAGACAATAGGAGTGAAAATTCAGGTCATGAAACCATCTGACATGCAGAATGAAATACCTTTGACACTCATTTAGTTAGAGATTCGAAAAAAAGCCTTATTAATACTTTGAATGAAGAGTTCTAGAGTAAGGACTCCTCAAACCAGTCTTGATACATTTTAAAAATAAGCCTTGAAAGGATCAAAAATGACCATGCCCCACATGGGGAGGTGCTCTCTCTCTCTTCATCTCCCTCCTTCTCTTTCTCACTGTGTCTTTCTAGCACGTACATGCACTTTGAGGCGATAAATTAATGAATAAATAAAGACAGCCCAAAATGCCAATGCCATTCATCTGTTCGAGAAGTAATATAATATTTTTATAGTACTGTTCCAAATAGAACATTACTTAGGCTCTATGTCAGACTATACATTTGTAATCAGTTTGAGTTAAATGGTTAAGTGATTTCTATAGAGCAATGAGTAATAAAATTATTTTACTGTTTTTGTTAATGTTTATTGATAGGCACATTTATTTTACTACTGACTTATCAAGAAATTTGCATATCCACTTATGCACACTTGAGATAAATAAAACTAAGGAGGCCCAATGGAAAACAAAAACTTGATATAAACATTTTGTCACAACTAGGATAGATGTGTCTCTGAAACTCATGAACCTGCAGGGATCTCAGCGCAGTTCACTTACTGATACGAGTGCACTTAGGGGGAGGGGACCAGCCGTCCTCTGTGCAGGTAATCGAGGTTTGCTGATCTGGAAGACTGTAGCCACGATAGCACTCAACTTTTACAGACTGGCCCTGTACATAGGTTTTTGAAAAATATGGATATTTTCCATTTTCCACATAGCTGAAAGTACATTGTCCTAAAAACAAAAAAAAAAAAAAAAAAAAAAAAAAAAAGATAAATGAAAGAGAAAATGAAACATTTATTTGGTCAAAATAATAAAGTAAAAATTATCCTTGCAATATTTAAGTGACAATATGTAAACATCCCCAATGAACATACAACTTTAAAACAAACTAAAACTATTACTATTTGTTAAAAGTGGAAAATCAATTTTCAATGTTACTAAGCTTTAGTTTGTATATTTAATATGTGTATAAATGATGTAGGTATTCTGGTAAACTATGGTTTTGCTCATGCAGTTTTCATAAACAGCTTCTTATAACAGAAAATACCGATTTAGGTCTTTTTCTGTATCTGACTCGTCCTCTGACCCTATTTTGCCATCTAAGATCTCACCGTCATCACTCATGTCCCCCCTCCCCCTTCTGGACGACTTACCCCAGCGTAACTGGAAAGAGGCTCACTTACTGAGACATGGCACTGCGGGCAACCATCCTTCCTGTGTGCACTTAAGGGAACCCCAGTAATATTCCGAGGGGGGCAAAAAACCATCTTCACACGAATAATAAACAGATGTTCCCAGAGGCACTGGGTAGTATTTGTATTTAGCGTTATAATCTAGGTCGCCATGTTTTATTTGTGGACGGTCACAGGGTTTCACTTGGAATAAAAAACAAAGGAGAGTATAAGGAAAATGTTATGTTAAAGAGCACTTATATTAGAGATCAATTGTTTGATCCATGAAAGAAGTTTTCTATTCATCTTTTCTTATGATTACTGTGACAGGGTGTGCATGTGCCCCAGAGAGAGACATGGAGAGAGACAGAGAAAGGGAAAGTGAGAAATGACCCCCCATGGGGCTGGCCATGCTGTATTGATTGCCTTCTCCTCCTCACTCCTCTCAGGACTTGGGGAATGCAGGCTCATGGGTCCGGCATGGTTCTCAAGCAGCTATGTCCGGGATTCAAACTGTTAAGCTGGTCATATGGGATCTAGTTCCTTAATCTCCACTCCAACTGTTGGCCTTCTAGTACTTTCCACGTAAGAATGGTTTTTGTTTGTTTCAAAAAGTTAACTACCACTCCATCAATCTGTAGAGAGGCCCATGTGCTAAGGGACTGAGACTTCTGACAAAGCCACATGAGGGAACCCTGTTGGAAGCAGATCCTCCAGCCCACCTAGGTCTTCAGATATTGCAGTCTCAGCCAAAGTCCCGACTGTGACACGGGAACAGCGTGACTCACGACTACTCACCCACACCAGGTCAGCAGCTCCTGACTCATGGAAACTGAGAGATAGTGGCCGTTCACTGTTTTCAGTAAGCATGCTTTAGGGGAAGTTGTGACAGGGTGTGCCTGTGCCCCAGAGAGAGACATGGAACAAGCCTCCATGTTCGGGACTTGAACCATACTTGGCCATGTGGGAGTTTAGGACTTCAAACACTATATCACCTGTCGGTCCCTTTGGTTGTTCTTTCCTTTTTATTTTTAATTTATTATTTAAAAATTATTATTATTTACTTAGTAAATTACTATACATCATTTAGATTGTAAAGAGACTTTACCCAGCATGATATGCAACTTAGTTCAGTCCAGTTGAGAACACTACATATCATCAACAGGTAATAAACCATATCTGTGTCCAACAAATATTTTACCTCTCTATTTTTTCCCCAAATAATTGTTCCTACCCTCTTACCCTCTCCCAATTTCCTTCCACTTTGTCCCTAGTTTCCATAACACTTTCCCATGCTTTTATGTCCTCCAGTATCTCAGTTTCTACCCTAGAGTGCCGACTGTCAGTATATGTTAAGTGGAGACATACAATGTCTCTGTTTGAGCGCCTGACTTGCTTCACTCAGCAATAAATCTTGTATATTCATCCACTTTCTTTCAAATGCCTCGGACTTGTTTTTTATGGCTGAATAGTATTCCGTGGAGTATATGTGCCATACTTTTTCAATCCGTTCATCTATTTAGGAACATTTGGGTTGTTTTTATGCCCTAACAATCATGACTAATGCCACAATATAGATGTGCAAGCACTTTCCTGACTGAGCGTTCTCCTGTCCTTTGGGTAGATACCCAGGAGTGGAATTGCTGGATTATATGGTAATTTTATTTGAAGGTCTTAGAGGAACTTCCATATTGTTTTCCACAGCAGTTGGGCCAGTTTACATTCCCAACAATAATGTAGGAGATTTCCCCTTTCACCACATACCAGCCAGCCCTTACCATTTTTTTTTTTTGAGAGGTTTTTTTCTATAGGGCGCGTGCGCTCGCCAGACAGACAGAGAGATAGAGAGACAGAAAGAGAGAAATCACCCCACAGGGAGGATGGCCATGCCACAATCCCTTCTCCGTTCTCCTCTCGGGATCTTGGGCATACATGTACATGCGCCGGCGTGAGTTATTTAAGCCACCGGGTCCAGGATGCGAACCGCGGTCGACTATGTGGCAGTCCAGCGACATAGCCATTATGCTAACTGCTGGTCCCACTGTTTTTTTTTTTTTTTAATTTTCACCATTCTGACTGGATTTAGGTGGTATCTCATTTTGATCTGCATCTCCCTTATGATGAGGGATGTTGGCCGTTTGTATGTCTTTCTTAGAGAGTTGTTTATTCAGCTTATTTTCTCATTTTTTAATTGGATTAATAATTTTCTTCTGGGTAAGCTGCTTCAGTTCCCAGTGTTTTCTTGTCATAAGTCTCCTATCTGAAGCATAGTTTACAAAAAGTTTCTCCCACTTTGAGGGTTGTCGATTCACACTAATTACTGTGTTCTTTACTGTGCAGAAACTTCTTAATCTGGTGTAATCCCACTTGTCTATTTTGGAGATTACTGCCTGTGCTTTGGGAGTCTTACTTAAAATGTCTTTGCCTACCCCAATAGCTCCCAGTTTCCCTAGTGTTTTCAACCAGTAATTTTATAGTTTGAAGTCTTAGATTTAGATCTTTGATCTACTTTGAGTTTATTTTTGTTAATGGTGAAAGATAGGGGTTCAGATTCATCTTTCTGCAGGTGGATACCTAGTTTTTCCAACAACATTTGCTAAAGATGTTTTCCTTTTCCCACTGGATTGACTGGTATCCTTAGTCAAAGATCAGTTGGCTGTATGTTTTGGGGTCTCTACTCTGTTCCATTGGTCCTCTTGTCTGTTTTTGTGCCAATACCAGGCTGTTTTGATGATCACAGCTTTGTAATATATTTTGGAGTCAGAAAGTGAGATGTCACTCACTCCACTCTGTTTGCATAGGATTGCTTTGGCAATATGGGGTCTTTTATGGTTCCAGACCAATTCTGGGATTGTCTTTTCCAGATCCATGAGGAATGTCTCTCATAATTTTATAAGGATTGCATTGAATACATAGATTAATTTGGGTAGGATTGCCTTTTGACTAAATTACATCTTCCAATTCTGAAACATTGGCTGTCCTTCCACTTCTTTGTGTCATGTTTTTATTTCTTTTTAAATATTTTTTTGGTTTTCCTTATCCCCCTTAGTAGTTCTAGTAAGTATTGTTTATATTCAAGGTCTCTTCTTTCCAAACAATTGGCAAGATTCCTTTTTAAATAAATATGGCCACTTAAACTCATGCTAGGCACGTGTGCATGCATGCCCAAGATCCTGACAGAAGAACGGAGGAGAAGGAATTGCAGCGTGGCCATCCTCTATGGGGGGTGATTTCTTGATTTTAGAAAACTGCACTACAGTTTTCTACTCTATGAGGCTTGGAAAATCTTTTCGCAAAAGAGCTGTATAGAAAGTGTCTGTCATTGGGACCGGCAGGTGATGTGGTGACTAAGGCACTGGACACTCCTACATGGCTGACCATGGTTCAAGTCCTGGACCTGGTGCCTTGCTTTCTCACTTTCTGTATCTGTCTCTGGTCAAATTAAAATAAATGACTAAATAAATAAAATTAATACAAATTCTTTAAAAAAAAAAGAAAATATCTGTCACGATCATCCAGCTCTTCTGTTGTAGTACATAAGTACCTGCATGCAATCAATAAACTAATGAATGTAGTCATCTTCCAATAAAACTGTTTAGCCTACCACAGTTAGAGCCACAGCTCCAACACTCTAAAAACACACTGGGTGTGTGTACATGCAGGCATAAGTTCCTAATGTGAAGGAGAAATTGAAAAAAGGAGATTGAAGACAAGGCTTGACATTATTTCTCTTCTTTTCTCTCTTATATTTTTAGAAGTATTTTATTTAACTTTGCTTATTATTATGTTTTTTTTTTCCTCCAATTTGATCAGAGAGAGACAGAGTGAGAGAGAAAGGAAGATTCCAGGTCTAGGACTAGAGCTGCTGTTGGCCATGTGGGAGTCCAGCACCTTTAGACACCATGCCACCTCCCATCCCCAGGTGGTACTTTCTTATGTGCTCTCTGGCATGAAAAATTAAATTATTTTTTAATTAAAAAAATTGGGTTACATTTATTAAATTATATACATACTTTGGAAACCAGAATATAAAAAAAAGCATTTATAAGAAATTTTAAGTCAAGATAATTAAAAACCACACAATTAATATATTACAAATGGGACCAACTGGTAAATGGTGGCTAAGGCAGCTGGATACCACACAACTGACCAAGAGGTTCAAGTCCTGGACTTGGAGTGTGAGAAACACAAAGGGTCCATGTGTGTGTGCCCAAAAATCCTGAAAAGAGGAGAATGGAGAAGGGATTGCTGCGTGACCACATAGGGGTGCTTTCTCATGTTCTCACTCTCTCTATCTCCGTCTCTTACTGGAGAGCACTTGTACCCTATGGCAATTTTTTTGAATTAAAAAAAAAAACTCTTAAGAAAACCAGTTTTAACTTAAATCAAAGAAATAGCAAGGAATTTTGATTAAAGCCAGGAAACAGGTTAGGATTCTGTTCAAATGGTAGGTGCATGAACCTATCAGTCTCATGTATTTTTATCTTCTGTTCTGGTTCAATTTTCCTGATTAAATTCTGGGATATAATATTCAACTCCA